CTTGTAAAACTACAGTTCCCAGGCTTCCAAATGTCTTATTTTGGAAATATAGACGCATCCTCTCTTGCTTTTGTTGTGATTCTCTCAACGGAGTCGCCTGCTACTGCACTTCCTTGTTGGATCAAGATGCGTCTAATACAGGTTTTGGACTTCAACTCCCAGCATTCCTAACAGCCTCAGGCCCCTTTCTTTTTCCCCCTCAGCCGCTTAAGCCAGGAAGGGGCCTGAGGCTGTTAGGAATGGTGGGAGTTGAAGCCCAAAATACCTGGAGGTATTACCTTAAAATACCTTTAAAACTCTGGCATAGACACTGAAAACTGGGAAGCCCTAGCCCTTGAGCACTCCAGTTGGAGGTCAGCTGTGACCAGCAGTGCTGTAGAATTTGAAAAGGCATGAATGGAGGGCGAAAGAGAGAAACTTGCCAAGAGGAGGGCTCCTCAAGTCAACCCCTACCGGACCGCCTTCCACCTGGAAGCCAATGCCCTCATTGAGGGAGAACATGCAGATCAAGAATTGGGCTTCACCCACGAACCCACCGCCAGTACACCAATCTTGGAAGACAATCCTACTCTGACAACGAGGAAGAAGAACCTGGAGGGTCCAAGTTTGCCCCTGCCTGGTGTAGATGCAACCTTGAGGAAAGGGGGGGGGGGTAAAGAGGGAGCCCCCAAGTGAAAGCTCTCCTTTAGACCGCTTCAACGCCGGCTTCCTGGGCTCCAAATTGCTTCCCCCGGATTCGAGCTCATTTCCTCCTCCTCCAGCCATTAGTCCTTCTCTTTCCACAGATTACAGACGACATCCAAGACCTCCCAGAAAGGAAAGGAGGGGACGAGGAGGGTCTCGGCTGAGGAGGAACCTTCTCTCTTCTAGTTTAGGCTTGGGGTTAAGTATCCCTCTCCCTTTCCAAAGCGAGGGGTGCTTTTGTCGCGCTGGACTACGAGTGCAGCTACACTGTAGAATTAAGGCAGTTTGACACCACTTGAACTGTCCTGGCTAGAAGTTGTTTAACAAGGTCTTTATTAACGTTTTCTTCAAAGAGTGCCCAGTGCCCTCTTCCCCAAACGCTCAGGAATTCATAGTACTGAGCCCTGGAAGTTCAAGTGGTATGAAACTGGATTCACTCTACCGTGTAGATGCACCCACAGTAAAGGGAGAAGTTTGGGGCGTCAAGCTTTGAAGTGTCTATGAAAAATGAATGTGTTGTCGAAGGCTTTCATGGCCGGAATCACTAGGTTGCTGTGAGTTTTGGCCATGTTCCCAACAAAGGATTCATCCCAAGGCCGGAATCATCCAGGCCTTGAAGCTGCAAGGCTTTGTAATGCTAATCAAGGTGATTACTTGCAACATTCACACCTGCCTCCAACAGTCAATAGTTCTTTCTACCACCCTGGACCTTCCACAGATATATAAACCCTGCTTGCTTAGTTTCCAATATACCTTACAATCTCTGAGGATGTCTGCCATAGATGTGGGTGACACGTCAGGAGAGAATGCTTCTGGAACATGGCCATACAGTTTGGAAAACTCACAGCAACCCAAAAATGAATATGCGTTCTAATACCACTCTGTCCTGCATCCAAAGAAGTGGGTTTACATCCATGATATCTTAGGCTAAAATAAAAAATAAAGCTGCAACTTTTCCTCTCCCTTCTTCTTATGTCTCATCCCATCTCCCTGATTCGAAGCACCGACCTTCAGGTCAGCAGTTCAGCCCGCACACAACACAGATCCAACTCACATTGGAATCCAGAGAGTGAAGGTGCATCTAAGGACCCTTCCACATAGCCATATAATCCAGAATATCAAGGCAGAAAATCCCAAAATTCCTTCTTTGAACTGGGTTGTCTGAGTCCACACTGCCATATATTCCAGTTCAAAGCAGAAAGTGTGGAATTTTATTCAGCTGTGTGGAAGGGGCCTTATAAAATGATTCTGTGCCCTTCTGTGTGGATCATTCTTGAGTTGCATTGTGGATTCATTTCCCTCTCTTCTTAGTGAATGGTTTCAAGGGGTCCACCTTTTGGGGTCGGAGGCGAATACACATCCCACAAAGTCGAAGTTGTGATCTTATTAGTCCCTTAAGAGCCACTGAATGACAGTTGGAAGGGAGCACATGGGGTCTAACCAGCTGCCATGCATTACACCACCACATTACTCCCCCGAAGATATCCATCTATATGGTTCTTCTTGGGAGTCCACCACTCTTTATCCCACTATGGAACAGTCTTTCTGGATTGTCTCTATACTGTAGAATGGATATAGTTTGAACCACTTGAACTGCCTTGACTCTGTGCTGCGGAACCATGGGAATTATTGTATTTCAATGTCTTTCGTCTTCTCTGCAAAAGAGTAAGAACTACAACTCTCAATCCTCTGTGCCATGCCAGTTCAAATGGTTTTAATTCTACACTGTAGATGCACCCTGAATCACTGAATCATAGAGTTGGAAGAGACCTCATGGGCCATCCAGTCCAACCCCCTGCCAAGAAACCGGAAAATTGCATTCAAAGCACCTCCCGACAGATGGCCATCCAGCCTCTGTTTAAAAGCTTCCAAAGAAGGAGCCTCCACCACACTCCGGGGCAGAGAGTTCCACTGCTGAACGGCTCTCACAGTCAGGAAGTTCTTCCTCATGTTCAGATGGAATCTCCTTTCTTGTAGTTTGAGCCATTGTTTCACGTCCTAGTCTCCAGGGCAGCAGAAAACAAGTTTGCTCCCTCCTCCCTATGACTTCCTCTCACATGGCTATCATGTCTTCTCTCAGCCTTCTCTTCTTCAGGCTAAACATGTCCAGCTTTTTAAGCCACTCCTCATAGGGTTTGTTCTCCAGACCCTTAAATGCTCAATATGATGCTGTCTTTGGCTAACCATTTTTAGCCCTTGTTCCACAGCCCAAGCAATATAGCCAAAATAGGAAGAGGGCTGGAGGAGAGGGGTTATCCTGAGCCATATCTGAAGGGACAAAGATGCCCAGATAGTGGCAAAGTTAAACCACAGCTCAAGAGGCCATGGAATCATTTCCCTCAGAAGCAACACAGCTCAACTTCTGGGTGACATTCATGGGGCCACCACATCAATCGACAGGCGACTTGAAGGCACATACACAACATGGACACCTCCAATCACATTCACAAGGGATGTAGGGTGTGTGGCTGTCAAATTCTACTCATAGGGCCCGCCCCAGAAGGAATGTGATGATTTCTGGGGAGATAGGAGAGGATGACAGGAGGAAATGGGAGCAGAGTTTGGACTTTTGTGTTTAAAGCAGACCTGGGCAAACTTTGGCCCTCCAGGTGTTTTGGACTTCAACTCTCACAATTCCTAACAGGCTACCGGAGTCCAAAACACCTGGAGGGCCAAAGTTTGCTCAGGCTTGGTCTAGATCCTAGGAATGGAGTTGAGACATCCAAAGAAGGAATGGCGGTTTTCGCAAGACATCCTGCAGTACATTTTTTTCAATGACTATCTCAAGTCTTAACCAATTCAACAGAGTTTTGTGGCAGCCACAAAAAAAGAGTTTCTGGGGTAGAACAACCACTTTCAAAGAAAGTCCCTCACAATTAAACAGGAAACAACGCTTTCAAAGCAGGAACCTCTGAGGGTGCTTGCCATAGATGCAGGCGAAACGTCAGGAGAAATGCCTCTAGAACATGGCCCTATAGCCCGAAAAAACCCACAAGAACCTAGGAACATAAAAGTTTTCCGATTTTGTCCAGGTCACACAATCAAAGGACAGGGGAGGTGAAGCTGAGTACATACACATCCTTTACATGGTTGGGTTTCTTCTGCTTTTTCCCCTGTTCTTCTATCACCGAAAGAGACTTCCATAGAAAGAAAGCGCTAGCCCGACCCCTTTATACAACATCAGCTCACCCAAAGGAAATTAATGTGCAGAGAGAGACAAAATTGAGACTAATTCTGAAACACCTCCTGAAACTTTTAAATCTTTCAGAAGCGCTTGAGAAACTGCAAGTCGCTTCTGGTGTGAGAGAATTGACCGTCTGCAGAGACGTTGCCCAGGAGACGCCTGTGGGAGGCTTCTCTCATGTCCCCGCATGGGAAGCTGGGGCTGACAGATGGGAGCTCACTCCACCTCCCGGATTCGAACCGACCTTCAGGTCAGCAGTTCAGCCTGCACACAACACACAGACTGGACAGATCCAACACATATTGGAACTCAGAAAGTAAAGGTGCATCTAAGGGCCCTTCCATACAGCCACACAACGCAAAATATCAAGGCAGGAAATTCACAATATCTAGTTTGAACTGGATTATTTGAGACCACGTTGCCATATATTCTAGTTGAAAGCGGATAATGTCGCATTTTATTCACCTGTCTGGAAGGGGGCTACATTGTAGAAATAATGCAGTTTGACGCCACTTGACCTGCGATGGCTCAATGCTATGGGGTTATGGGGGTTGTATTTTGAGAAGCCTTCTCTGCCAATCAGCGCACCGATGCCTCACCAAACTACAACTCGGCTGCATTGAGCCAGGGCTGTGAAACTGAAGGGCCTTCCATACAAGCCAGAATATCAAGGCAGAAAATCCCACAATATCTGTTTGAACTGGGTTATCAGAGGCCACACTACCATATATTCCGGTTCAAAGCATATAATGTGGGGTTTTGTTCAGATGTCTGAATTCATTCTATGGTTGAGACGCATCCCGAAACAAGAGAGGGCCCTTCCGGACAGCCCTATATCCCAGAATATCAAGGCAGAAAAACCCACAATATCTGCTTTGAACTGGGCTATCTGAATCCATACTCTGATAATCCATACTCTGATTTTCTGCCTTGATATTCTGGAATATAGGGCTGTGTGGAAGGACCCAGAATAAAGTCTTATCTGATCGTTGTTTTATTTTTATCTTGCCTTTCTCCCACCCAGAATAAAGTCTTCTGGATTTAAAACGTTGTAATCCCAATCCCAAAACGTTGCTTGGGAAATACCTTTGGGCATCTCCAATAAAATCCCCTCAAAAGAAAAAAAACTCACCAGAGGGAAAAAGCCACCCAAGTCTCGATGCCCACGTCGCTGTCCGCTTGCCTGGCACCTTGAAAGGAAAGGGAGAAGGAGGCATGAGAGATGAAAGACTGGGGGGGGGGGGGGGGAGAATGAGAAAGAGAGAGAGAGAGAAGGCGGCTGATGCGAGGCACATGGCTGCAATCGCCTCCAGCCTTTTCCCCTGCAAAGCCCAGCAGCCCTTGGATTCCCCCCACCTGTTGGAAAGAGGGAGAAAGGCGGGAAAGGGGGGGGGCTGCTTGAGGGCATCCTGGGCGCCACCTCCACAGGCCTGCCAAGACTGCCTTCAGGATGGGGAGACACCGAGGCCAAAGAGCGCCCCAAGGAAGGCGTCTTTTAGCCTTGCCAAAAGGATAGGTAGTATTTCTTTGAAGGGGGGGAGAAAGATAGGAGGCCCATATGCCTCTTCTCCTCCCCCTTTAATGAAGGATGGTTTAAAGCCCTCCTGGAGAAGAGAAGGAGGGTTTCCTTCTCCTTCGTTGCTGTCAAAAGGGGAGGAAGGGAAATCAGGAGATTTGGGAGCTGGAGGAGGAGAGAAAGGGGGGAGTTTTGGGGAAAGATGGAGGGAGGGACTCGTACCCAGTGCCTGGCTTTTAAAAAAAGCCCCAAATAAATAAATTAACAGCAATGGAAATATTCAGGGAAGGCGGGCTTTGCGCCGGGAGGTGAGGCCAGGCCCCCTCCCTCCCTCCCTCTCTCTTTCCCCCTCTCCCTCGGGAGGGTCCACCCCCTGGAAAACAAAACTTGGGGGGCCTCCAGCGCCTGGCTTCAGTGGAGCAGCAAAAGGGAAGCGGGAAGGAGCCGGAGGCTTTGCAGGAAAGAGGTGGGGAGGGCAGCGGGGGTGTTGCTTTTGTGTCCCCCTACTCCTTCCCTCTTTCTTTTCAAGCCCCCCCTCTCCTCCCGCCCCGTTTTCGACCCGCTTTTGGGTGCCGCCGAGGGGGGGGGGAGCTGGCATGAGAGGGGCCCTCCCGAGGCGGTGCCATGTATTGGAAGAGCAGCCCCTTGGTTGTGTGTAAGCTGGACGGCCAGGACTTGCCTGCGCTTCGAGTGGAGACCGAGAAGGTGAGCCGGGGAGGCGACGGGGTCCTTTGCCCTAACCTTGCTTTTCATTTTGAACAGTTTCGCCTAAAGTCGAGCCCGGCTTGGAATCGGATTGCGCCGCTCCTCGCACAACTCTTTCCACGAGCCTAGGCTTGAGAATCGTTCCTCTAGTCCTCCCCATTTCCTCCACCACCCCTCTCTTTTGGTTATGCGCGCTTTCCGCTCTTTTTCTCCTTTCGAAAGACTTCTTCTCGACGTGTAACGTTTTGTGGGCGTTACACCCGCAGGCCAGGATTTCCCTGCGCGAAAGCAGCCCTAAACAAAACTGAAATTAATCCTGATCCGAGGGAAAGGTAGGGCGAATATTTAGGGCGTGGAAGACTGGAGTTTGCTTTGGACTAGTCCCTTTATTTTTTAAAAAACAGAATTTGAGGATTATCGTCACCCGTTTTTTGCGATCCACACTGGTTCGCAGGGCTGGGCCAGGCAAGGATCCCCAGCCCTCCAGTTGGCTCCGATGGGACTCCTCCGGGGTAAGTCAGCCCTTGAGGCTTGAAGCTAGCCGACGTACACAATACCTTTTCCCTCGGTGTTTTTGAGGAGTCGACCTCCGCACTGGGAAACTGGAATTTTTTTATTGCAAACATTAGAAAGGGTTGAAGCCAATTCGGCCCACTCGCGCATTGCCTTCTGAAAAGGGAAAGCTTTGGAAGTGGTTTCGATGTGCCACGACGACCGGGGAGATGCCAAAGAACGGTTTTGGGGGGGGGGGATTCAGGCCCCATCTACACTGGCATATAATGCTGTTCGGCTGCATTGAACTGGATTATCGACCCCAAGTTGGCCCATGCCTGATCTACCCTGTCATATGATGCAGTAAAACTGTATATAGCTCTGTATAGATAGGGCCTCCATTGAATTATTTCGGGAGTTGCTCCTGCAAGGACTAGTGAAGGCCACTCAGGTAGGAAGGCTACTTCAGAGTCAGTGGACTGCTTGCTGTTGGTTTAGTAAAACTGGAACGCAGGGGCCCAATCCTTCCTTCCTCTCTTTCGCATGGCTTGACCCTTTTGATACTTTAGGCCCAAAGGAGGGACAGCTGCCTGCCCCATTGCCCCTTAATGTATGTTTATAGTGTCGCATGTCAACTTATGGCGACTATTAATTTCATAGTGTTTGTCTTAGGCCCGGAATCCTCAGGGCCCTTCCATACACAGCCATATTTCTGCCAGAATATCAAGGCAGAAAATCCCACAATATCGACTTTGAAATGGGTTATCTGCGGCGACGCTGTCATATATTCCATTTCAAAGCAAATGAGGGATTTTATTCAGCTGCGTGGAAGGGGCCCTAGAATATCAACACAAAGAATCCACAATATTTGTTTTGAACTGGGTCATCAGAGGGCCCTTCCACACAGCCCTATATCCCTGAATATCAAGGCAGAAAACCCCACATTATCTAAGTGTGGACTCAACCCAGTTCAAAGCAGAAATTGTGGGATTTTCTGCCTTGGTATTCTGGGATATAGGGTTTGTGTGGAACGGCCCTGAGTAGTCCATACTGCCACATATTCCACTTCAAAGCAGGGATTTTATTCAGCTGTGTGGAAGGGGTTAGATAGTTTTGTCAGGTCCTTCCTCTGAAATAGAGCCTGGTGTTCATTGGCAGTCTCCCATTCTGGTCCTAAAGAGAACTGACCCTACTTAGCTTCCTAAAACAGATGCCTTTCGGAATGTAGGCCATTTCCCTTTATGTGTCCCTTCCAATCGCCTGTCTACTTAAGCTCCCCATAATAATGTTTGAACCCATGAATTTCACGCGTTTTCTTCCGGCAAAGCATACTCCTGAGGCGGGTTGGCTATCACCTCAGCTTACAGCGTACCTAGGCGCCTTCTCTCTCTTAAATAGCCCCGCTTTGGAAGGGCTTAACCCGCATTGAGGCAGCCCGACAAGCCAAGCCGTGTCCTTGCCCCGGGGTTGCCCGCAGGTGCCCCGGGCGCCTTTTGTTCGGTCCCCAGCCCGCCTCGAGAGCGTTTTTGTCCCTCGCACCCTTTAAACGCCCGGCCCTTTTGCGCGGGGGCTTTTAATGGCTCCCAATTAACCCCAGCTGCCGGGTTCCCGCTCTCTCTCTCTCTCTCTCTCTTCCTCTCTTCATGGGACGGGGCGCTCTCTTCCTGGTTGAGGTGGGTGTTTATAACGTTCATTTTATGTTCTATTTCAAAAAGAAAGACACCCCCCTCCCCTAATCTTAATCCTCGAGTCCGGCCGTTGTCGACTCGAGAGTTTAAGTGGGCCATTTACACCTCGGAGGCTGCGCCTGGCGGGCCGGCCTGCCTGCTTGCCTGCCTGCCCTAATTGCGCCCACCGAGGCATTTGCATTCAAATCGGGCGGCAATTAGCCCTCAAGGGCCCCCATTCACACGCGGGGCTTGGGAGCCGCTTCGCCCCGTAATTGCGCCGGGTTCGCCTTGGCTGGAGAAGGGGGAGAGGGTGGGTTCCCCTCCAGTCTTCCCTCCTGTTTCCTCCCAACCTCCTGGCCCTCTTCCTTGGCGCGCTCAGCTTGCCGCCTGCTCTCTATCTTTCTTTCTTTCTCTGCCTGCAGCTCCCGAGGTTCATGGCTGAGGAGTGCGGGCGAGTGGCAGCAGCAGCAGCCGCGGGAAGGAGGCGGAAAAGCGCCGGAGAGGCCGCGATGGTGAGTCAAGGCAGGCTGAGGAGGAGGAGGAGGAGGAGGAGGGCAGATTCTCTCCACTCAAGCAAGGAAGACTCTGGAGCAGGCAGGGGCACACTTGGGCCCTCCAGGTGTTTGGGACTTCAAGCCCCACAGTTCATAACAGCCTCAGGCCCCTTCCTTTTCTTCCTCAGCCGCTTAAGCGGAAAATGAAAGGGCCTGAGGCTGTTAGGAACTGTGGGACTTGAAGTCCCAAACACCCGGAGGACCCAAGTCTGCCCATGCCTGCTTGGGGGAGCCTTCCTCTCTGGCCCACGGTGTGGGCAGCGTAGACACGGCCTCCTCCTCGTGGCCAGCTCGCCTTTCCCGCCCAAAGTCCCTCTGGGAGCCTCCTCGGGTCCTGAGCGAGCCATTCATTGCCTTCATTCCTTCTCCCAAGTCGGCCAGACTGGGGGAGGCTCAAAAGGCACTTTGACACCACTTGAACCCTTCTGGCTCAATGCTAAGGAATCTTGGAAGTTAGAGTTTGGTGAGGTAGAGAAGACCCTGTAAAACTACACACACTGCCAGAATTCCATAGCATCAATCCATTGCAGTCTTCCTCCTCCTTTCCTCCTCCTTCTCCTTCCTCTCCTCCTCCTTCGTTTTCTCTTTCTCTTTGTTCTTCTTCTCCTTCGTTTTCGCCTCCTCTTTCTTCTCCCTCTTGTTCTTCTCCTCCTTCTCTTCCTTCTTCGTTTTCGCCTTCGTTTTCTCCTCCTCCTTTCTCCTCATTCGTTTTCTCCTCCTTTTCCTTCTTGTTCTTCTCCTCCTTCGTTTGCTCCTCCTCCTTCTTGTTCTTCTCCTTCTCCTTTGTGCTCTCCTTCTCTTTCTTGTTCTTCTCATTCTCCTCTTTCTTCTCCTTCGTTTTCTCCTCCTCCTTCTTGTTCTTCTCCTTCTCCTTTGTGCTCTCCTTCTCTTTCTTGTTCTTCTCATTCTCCTCTTCCTTCTCCGTTTTCTCCTCCTCCTCCTTCTTGTTCTTCTCCTTCTGTTCCTTCTCTTCCTCATTCTCCTTTTCCTTCTTCACTTCTTCTCCTCCTCCCTATTTAGATCATTTTTATCTCCAGCCACAAAGGCACCCAGAGTAGTTTCCAAAATGTTGATTTACCGGGGGTTGCAAGCTACAAAATAGAAAGACGACGTTAGTGCATAAGACTGGACGTAGCTGTGTCTTGCTGGCTGCCTCCCTCCCACTCAGTCAACTACTCACGGTTGCGGAAATGTGGAAAGGCCCTTCAAGTTAGTGCATAAGACTAGTTAGTGCACACTGCATCGGTTCCCCACTTCGCCAGGAGAAGCTCTGAGCAGCTTCTTGCCTCACCTGAGGAGACCATAGGCGAGTCTTTGCCTCCTCTGGGTACCCAAAAGCTAAGAGTGGGGATGCGTCTACACTGCGGCATTGGTAGTTTGGCACCACTTTCTCTGCCATGGCTCAATGCTCTAGGGTCCCAGGAGTTGTCCTCTTTGACAGAAAGGTCAAGATGACAACTCCTATGAATCTCTCCTAGGCATGGGCAAACTTCGCTTAAGCGGCTGAGGGAGGAAAGGAAAGGGCTGAGGCTGTGAGGAATGGTGGGAGTTGAAGTCCAAAACATCTGGAGGGCCCATGTTTGCCCAGGCCTGATCTATACAAAACATTGAGTAGTTCTAAAGTAGCTATATAGTGAGGTTTGTTTGGCATACAGGATCCCCTCTGGTGAAGTGGTGAGCTCCTGCTGTTAGCTCCAGCTGCTGCCAACCTAGCAGTTCGATAACATGCAAATGTGGGGAGATCAATAGGTACCACATAACTAAATGCTTTTAACTGCAGCTAGATTTAAGACAATATAATATGGCTGTCACAGAACAGTTTGACTGTAACAAGAACACATGGCACCTATACCATACAAATGACTGCTTATGTCTATTAGGGACGGATGTTTTCATTCCTGTATATACTCATGTAGGAGCCCCTGGTGGCGCAGTGGGTTAAACCGCTGGGCTGCTGAATTTGCTGACCGAAAGGCGGTGGTTCGAATCCGGGGACCAGGGTGAGCTCCCGTTGTCAGCTTCCAGCAGTTCGAAAACATGCAAATGTGAGCAGATCAATAGTTACCACTTTGACGGGAAGGTAACGGCGTTCCATGCAGTCATGCCGGCCACATGACCTTGGAGGCGTCTAGGGACAACGCCGGCTCTTCGGTTTAGAAATGGAGATGAACACCATCCCCCAGAGTCGGATACAACTAGACTTAATGTCAGGGGAAACTTTTACCTTTACTTACAGGGTTAGACACTGATCATTTTATATGCCCTTCAAGCTGCATTATTTGTCAGTGTCGAAATAGCCATTGAGCCATGGCAGTTAAAGAAATGTCAATGTGCGAGGGTAGGTGCGCCCTCGGGGCCCAGTTGGACACCCCGCCGTTCCTTCCAACTCCTTTGCCCCGCAAGACGCCAGAAGAAGAAGAGTATCCAGAGACTGGACGTGGCAATGCTTCCATTTGTTTACGCGGGGACAATCGGAGGCGGCTGGGATGGGGCGCTTTGGCGGGAGGCTCGGTAAGGGGAAAGCCGAGCCTGAAGGTGAGGGGCTTGGGCTTGGGGCCCGGATGTAACCGTCTTCTGTCCGCCCGACAGGGGAGCCCCGAGGCGGCAGGAGACGAGGACTCGTGCTCTTCGTCCGCCCCGCTTTCGCCTTCCTCTTCGCCCCGCTCGCTGGCTTCGGGCTCCGGCGGTTGTGCGCCCGGCAAGTGCGTCTGCAGCAGCTGCGGCCTCGAAATCGTCGACAAATACCTGCTCAAGGTGAGTCCCAGGGGGAAAGGGACTGGTCGGGGAAGAGGGCAAGCTCCGAGTCTACCTACACTGACCGTGTAATGCGGTTTCGAACTGCGGCGGCCAGGCAACAAACGCCTACAAAAGGAAGATCTGAATGTGCTTCTTCGGGGCTCTGTGGTTTGTGTCCTCACCATCCGGGACTTCCCAACTGGTCCCAGGCTTTCCTATGGAATCATCAGCACAGTGAAACCAATTTTCTTCCCGCCGCTTTGAAACTGCGTTAAATGGTCAGTGTAGCAGCCGAGTTACCAGCACTTTGCGAGTCCCTCCGGAGCTGGAGCCTTTCCTTTGTTTCCTTTCCTTTGTTTCCTTAACATTTCAAGACACTGGCGGCCCTTCTACACAGCCCTATATCCCACATTATCTGAGTGTGGACTCAGATAACCCAGTTCAAAACAGATATTGTGGGATTTTCTGCCTTGATATTCTGGGATATAGGGCTGTGTGGAAGGGCCCTTACAGGCATTGCATTTTAGCACAAAGCCCTGCTGCGATTCTAATTCTGTCATACTTTCGAAAGTGGCCTGGGAAATTGGAAAGGTGATTCCTAATCCTAAAGGAATGGCGTAGTGATTTGAGCGTTCAGAGAGACTGGGGCCCCTTCCACACAGCTGGATAAAACCCCACATTTTCTTAAACTGGAATATATGGCAGTGTGGACTCAAATAACCCAGCTCAAAGCAGATATTGTGGGTTTTTCTGCCTTGATATTCTGGATTATATGGCTGTATGGAAGGGCCCTGTGGGTGTTGTCTCCAGTGTAGAATGGATGCCCTGGTATGGAAACCTGGGAATTGTAGTTTGACGAGGCTCCAGCACTCTTTGGAAGAGAAGGGGAAAGTCCTTCTCAAACTGCAACTCCCAGAACTCCATGGCACTGGAATCCTGGAATTGAAAGTGCACTGTATTCATTATGTGATTTTTAAAATGTTTATGTAATATGTTTTTAACTCCACGTTTTAATGTTTGAACGTCTTTGTGTTTTTATGATTTTCTTGACAGTTGTATGTTATTATTGTTCTATGTTAGATGTTTTATGTATGTGGGGCATTGAATTTTGCCATATATATGTTGGAAACCGCTTTCAGTCCCCCTCTGGCGTGAGAAATGGTCCACACAGCCATATAACCCAGAATATCAAGGCAGATAATCCACAATATCTGCTTTGAACTGGGCTGAGTCCTCACTGCCATATAATCCAGTTCAAAGCAGATAATGTGGGATTTTATACAGCTGTGTGGAAGGGGCCACAGGGCCCATCCAGACAGCCCTATATCCCAGAATATCTTGGCAGAAAATCCCACAACATCTGCTTTGAACTGGGTTATCTGAGGGCCCTTCCAATCCTATATCCCAGAAAATCAAGGTAGAAAATCCCACATTATTTGAATGTGGACTCAGATAATCCAGGGTCCTTCTGCACAGCCCTATATCCCAGAATATCAAGGCAAAAAATCCCACAATATCTGCTTTGAACTGAGTTATCTGAGTCCACACTCAGATAATGTGGGATTTTCTGCCTTGATATTCTGGGATACAGGGCTGTGTGGAAGGGTCCAGAGTCCACACTCAGATAATATGGGATTACCTGCCTTGATATTCTGAGATATAGGGCTGTGTGGAAGGGCCCTCAGTTACCATGGGTGAAATCACATTCTCTCGCCCTGAGAGGAAAGCAAAGGCAACCCTTCTCTGAACCATTTTTGCCTATTGTACATGACTATATGTTCCAAGCAACTTGAAGACATGACACAACAATAACCTTTCAGAAGAAATTGTCTCAAATATCACAGTAAAGGAGAAGGAATCTTGATGGGAACAAAAAGTACTTTTCAAATTTGGATCTAGATTGTGTCCTATGTTTTAAGTAGGACCTAAGTCAAAGACACTTTGAAAGGTTGAATTCCTTTCCCTATAAATAAAGCTCTTTCACTTTGCTGATATGTTTGAGAGAATAGCTACAACTAACTACTATTAATCAGAGATTTGGGCTACACCATATTTTCATGGAAGCAAACATGTTTCCCTTCAGTTGAATGTTTAGCCTTTAAACTGCAACAACAACACTATTAAAGATGACATATTCACCTCAAAACAATGCCACTGCTTGACATTTATTTCGTCATTATACCTTAGTAATTTCTTTCAAGTTTAAACTACTACGTTCAAATAATGTCTGCACAGTCTATGAACTAACTCCATGTGTGTGTTGTGTTATGCTTTGGTAGCCACTAATCCAAACCAAAACCTGATTTTGTTGTTTAAAACCTAGTAATTTAGATTTCACAGTCATCAGGCTGTTGAGTTTGGCAATTCTTACAAAAAGCTCAACATTTGGGCAATTTAGGAAAATACTCCTTTTCCTGCTTTCCCCTTCAAAATCCTTGACATGATGTGCATTAACTTGAGCTGGCATGTTGGATGTTAATGAAACCAAGCAAATTGTTATAATGTAAGGACATTATTTTTATACCATATCTTTAGCAACCCCTTTGACCTCTTAACTAGTGAAAACTGAGCACCTAGTGGTATCTGTCAAACAGCAAACTGTGGGTATATATGAAGGAGAGACAGAATGTGTAAATATATGCACAAAGCAAAAAAGAAGCATTAAATCTGTTTAAATCAGGATCTTAGAGCAACGGGAATCCAAATGGGCAGTGTGAATGATCAACGTGACAATTATTTCCCAGGTTTTGAATATTTACTTCTAAGTAGTAGTATTGTTAATATGTATAGAAGAGGCATTTTTGTAATTCATTAGAGTTGGTAGCCAGATATGATTCTCCACCTAATATAATTCTGTGCTATACTAAAATGAAAGTTGTTTTCCCTTGGTTTAATAGGCATTTTTCATTATTCTTTTACTCACTCTGCCAAATATCATATGGTAGCTATATCGAAGGGTGAGCTATTAAATACAGTACTCTGGATATATACTCAGTGTGGGGTTACATATCAATATTAAGTTAATATAAAAGTCTTCAGTTGTAAACTTGTCAGGAAAACCAAAGTCTTGTTTCTTTTTATTCAGTTGTGGAAAAACACTCTGCGTTCTAGATTCAGTTACTAATTCCCACTAGAGTAGACTCTCTGAGTAAACAGAATTGATATAGCTGCTCATTTACTAAACTCATTCTGTCTGGAACTAACAAAACTAACAAAACTAACAAAAGTGTTGCTTCTAGCAAGGACTTGTACAATTTTCTTCACTGCTCTGAGGTGCTGATTGATGAAGATAAGGTGACATTTCATTTGACATGCATGTTCAGCTTATATTTGGTTATTTCTAAAGATATATGGAGGAGATTATATTTCTGTATTTGTATTTCATAATAATAATAGCCATATATTTTCCTTTATGTTTTTATCCAGAATATAATACATAATTGCACTCAAAAATGAGAAAGTAGTTAAATAGTAGTTTTCCATTACCCTTAAGCCACATTAACACTTCCAAAGTGGCTGAAAATATTTCATGTGTATTCTCTCTGTTCTGAGCTGTTTGGTATTGTTTTGTTAGATTACTTTGACCCAAGCTCAGCAGTGCAATGTGGAATATTTGTTTCCCTTTCCTCTTTTTGAAGAAACATGAAAACAGTTTAGATCAACCAACCCCATTGTTGGCTGGAGATAGTGGAAATCATATTTTGAAGGTGCCAATTGGGCAAAAGTATATTGGAGAGTTGCAATAGACCTTGAACTCTGGATGGCGTGTTTTCAATTTTGAATGTATTTTAATCATGTATAATATGTTGTAATTTTAAACTATTTTTAGGTGAATTTGTTGTTTTGAGGCACTGTGTATGTGCCATTGTAAGCTGCCTTAAGTCCCCCTGCTGGGGTAGAGAAAGGTGGGGTATAAATATGGCAAATAATAAAAATAATAATAACTGTGTTGGATTGTATCATGACTATCAGTATGGAAGTACAGGTTGTCTAGACAGGTTGCATTCTAGATTGACAGCATTGTTTGTACAGGCACCTCAGCAATGTTCTTTAATAATAATTTATGTGTATATCATTGCTGTTGTAGTTTTTCCCTCAATAACCTATGTGGCTTTTATGTCAGAATTTTGACCTGTGACTAAAAGGCATGTGAAAATTAGAATGTCATGAAGAAGCTTGAAAGAAAGAAAAAACATAGAAAAATGTGCTTAAAACACCGTTTTGCTCATTAGAAGGATGAATTTAGTAAAAGACTAGGAACTGAAAACACCTGATTTTGGCCCCTTCTACACTGCCATATAAAATCCAGATTATCTTCTTTGAACAGGATTATATGGCAGTGGAGACTCATATTATCCAGTTCAAAGCAGATAATCTGGGATCAGATCCTGGGATATAGGGCAGTATAGAAGGGGCCTTTGTCAGCTTTTTCACCTCTTTCAAAAAAGGAGAATTACTTCCCTTGTAACTTTATTATATACTGTGTTAAATTTTCATTTAATCAATTTACATAGATTAGATTTTTTTTAAAGACAACAGTGGATTTGTTGTTGTGGTGGTAGTGATGCATCTTCAAGTTGTTCCCAATCTATGATGACCCTAAGATGAACCCATCACAAGGTTTTCTTGGCAATATTTGTTCAGAAGAGGTTTTCCATTGCCTTCCTCTTAAACTGAGACCGTGTGCCTTGTCCGAGGTCACTCAGTGGGTTTTGTGGCTAAGCAGGATTCAAACTCTGATCCCCAGAGTTGAACTATGAATAACAATTCCAAAAACCAAATACTTCATTTGCCATTTTATATACTAAACACCATGTTAACTATGCCACTGTATATAATGGGGATTGAGTATTTACTGATTTTGTATCTACAGCAGGTCATGGAACCAAACTTTAGCAGATACCAAGAGCCTGATGTAACTCCTTTCTAAATCTATCTTGATATGTAATCCCCCCCCCCATGAAATTGTGGTGTTTACTTCTTCATTCTCTGTTCAGTCAAATTTCATGTGATATCCCACATCCTATTCATTCAACACCATGTGTCTGTTTAGATACTTTTTTAGAAGTGACAGAAGGACAGAGAGATTATGGGATGCACTGCCGAGTTACCACAAGCAACAGTTCTTCTGGGGAGGCAAATTGTTTCTGGATATATATATTTAGGAAAATATAGTGTGTGTGTGTGTGTGAGAGTGTGTGTGTGTGTGTGTGTGTGTGAGAGAGAGAGAGAGAGAGAGAGAGAACAATACCTCTAATGCTGCTCCTCCAGTGGACTTATAGTGAAGAACATGTGTTTTTCTGTGCATGCTATGTTATGACTACTATTGTTGTGACTCTTATTTCTGGTTGCTTATAAAATGTGAGGAGTCTGACATATTTGTGACATTTATTTTCATAATGCTCTCTTTATATAGATCATTAAAATGTGCATTTTCTTCCTTCATAGGTAAATGATTTGTGCTGGCATGTGCGCTGCCTCTCCTGCAGTGTATGCAGGACCTCTTTAGGAAGGCACACCAGCTGTTATATCAAAGACAAAGACATTTTCTGCAAGCTTGATTATTTCAGGTAAACCATATCTATCGAATATATGTTGATATTTAGAAATTGTGAAAGTAGACTGTCAAATGTTGGGTTTGTGCATACCAGCTCACTCAGCCCAATGCAGGTACTGCACTTCATTGCTTATAGCTGAAATGTATATCTAATTGCATGTTGAAATCCAATACAGCTGTATTATCCCTGTTAGGTTGTGCATTGGCATTGAAAGCCACTATTAGTTCCTTTGCTTTAAAGTGAGAGGATTGATTAATCTAGCAGTCTAAAGGATTCCAGGAAAAGCAGAAACATTTAAGGCTTTAAAATTGGGTTCATAAATTGGACAAGTCTTTTCTGTTTCCATTTTGGAAACCCATTTGGCTGCTCTTTCAGCTTCCTTACATCGTACAGAATTGGCCACAATATAATGCATTCTTTTGTTTTGCAACTTTTTTGAACCAGTAGCAAAAAGGCTCTGGCAACTGCTATGCCCTGTGAGTTTATGATGTAACAGAGACTCTTTTTAACTGTCAGGCGAGAGGAATTGCATTTAGATGTTCTTGAATTATATCTGCAGTAATCCCCAAGAACGAATGCAATGAGATGGCAGGCTAATGTGATAAAGTCCTTAGTCAATGGAGTGTCATTTCCAGTGTCTTTTCAGTGTTGAGTGAGTCTGCCCTTTTGTAGTTTAAATGGTGCTATAGAAAGGAGTATGAGTTTGGACACTAGGAAAAGGACTTCTATGTTGACGTGTTTCTTTCCACTTGGTAACTAGCCCCTCATTGGCTTTGCAAGGCGATTCTGGTCACCAATCTTTCCTGGCAACTTGAGAACACATATATGGAAGCCTTCACCCTTGTCAGTTTTAGAGCTTGGGAAAGTATGCCACCTGTTCTCAAACCCTCCTCAGGTTTCCTTCCTTACACATAAGACAGGCACAGTTTGAACAGAAAATGCAATGATGTGAAATAAACAAACACTAATGTTTTATTTAGCTTTTTGTTGTTACTGAAACCTCAGTTGTTTAGGGTAGTATATGCCTGTTATAAAATATGTATTCCAACTTTTATCTTTCTGTGCAAAATAATTTGTGTAAGCAGAAAGTCAAAATCCTGACTTTTCCCAGTGTGAATCAAAAACTGCTAGTTTTGCCAGTAGCTTCATAGCTGGATGTGAAGAAATCTCTGTTTCTAAAATGTCTTTATTCATTTTGTTCTTTTACTTGATTTGAAGATTATCTAACTTAAAAGCTTATATAAACAATATTGTTGTTGGCTGGGTCTTTTTTTAACAGTAAAAAACTCAACCGATTGCAGCAGAAACATTCTTTGGCCCTTAATTTTTTAATAAGACATCTTATACATGTAAATTCCACTCAGTTCAGTAGCATTTAGTTACAGGTAACTGGGTAAATAATGTCTGCCTAACTCTCCCACCAAAGACAACAAGAGCCAATAAAGACATTGCTTAATGTTATGGGATCATGTTCCCTGGCTTTGATAATAAATTTATTTACTTTGTTGTGGTTGTGGATCTTTTTGTTGATATAAGCAACACTCTGACAGTATACTTGTTAATTTGGATATGGCATAGTTGAGTGAGCATTGTAATCCAGAGTAGTGAGCTATAGCCCTAAATTTAATTTCCTCTCATCTAGGGTAAACCACTCAGTAAATCAAATTTGCAGACTTGTTAGTTACCAAGGGGCCCCCTGGTGGTGCAGCAGGTTAAACCACTGAGCTGCTGATCTTACTGACCGAAAGGGTGACAGTTCGAATTTGGGGAGCAGGGTGAGCTCCTTCTGTTAACCCCAGCTTCTGCCAACCTAGCAGTTTGAAAACATGCAAATGTGAGTAGATCAATAGGTAGTGCTTCTGCGGGAAAGGTAATGACACTCCATGCAGTCATACTGGCCACATGACCGGCTCTTCGGCGTAGAAATGGAGATGAACACCACCCCCAGAGTTGGACACAACTAGACTTAATGTCAGGGGAAATCGTTTACCTTTACTTTACCTAGTTACCAGTTTCCATTGATTCAGTGCATCAACTGTAGCTGGAATTAACAATTAATCTAGGCCATGCTAGATCAAGAAAAAAGTGTTTTTAAATGTCATAAAGTATATTGTGTATTTATAGTTTTCTGTTTGCCTCAACTTAGACATCTTTTCAAGCATTAAAGTTGTACTGGCAACACTATTGGGAGAAAACTATTCTCACAATCTCTTCAAAGCATCAGAAGTAGTTTGCTGCTAGAGAAGACTGTTGCTGTTTGAAATGGAAACACAGCTTTCCATTTGCCCAGAAGCTTTATGTTTATGACTGTAAAGTCAAGCTGTGGCCTTTCATGCTCAATAAAATTATGTTGAAAATTCAAAGTAAAGAACCCAGAAATAATTTTAAATACAGATTTTAGTGAAACTTTTGAGAGTCTGTGAAATGTGTGTAGGTTGGTGACATATACAATCACTTTATAGGCTTGTTAATGAGTTCTGACATTTTCATAGAAGTTATTACTAGGAACTCAGGGCAAGCCCTTCTCTGTTGTTGCACTTAATTGGATCAATTGGTTTGTTAATTTAAAAAACAAATATAGGTGCTGTGTCTTCTTTGTCTTGTTTTTAGTTTAAAGTAAGCACAGTAAATTGATCTAGGCCAGGGGTGTCAAACTCATTTTCACTGAGAGCCACTTGTAATTGTAAGATTGCATAAATGTAACTATATTGCTTGATATTGAAAGCCTTGGGAGCTGCATAATATGTGGCGGCTCAGATTCTGTCCTCAGGACTTATGTTTGACATGTGTGATCTAGGTTTATAGACAGATTTACATTGGGGATCTTTTTGTCTCTTCTGAGGTCCCATTTTGGATCAGTCATGTCTGCAACTTCTCTTGACCATCTTTAAAGTAATGTGCAGTTTGGGCTTTAGGTGTTTTTATCAGGGGAAAATCCTTCCCCCCCCCCCCCTCCCAATGGAACTACATTCTTCTAGGAGATTTGAAATATTACTGCCAAAACAACATTCACTAAGGCTCAATAGCAGTTTTTTTTTGTCCACTGGTGGAGACTCAGTTGTTTTTCTTCAGATTACTATTTCAAACTCTTGTGTTTTGATTTGGCTTTTAAAAAATGTTATAATGCTTTGTGTATTAAATATAATCTACTTAATCTGAAAAACATGTTTCTGCACTAGATGTGAGGTACAGACAAAAAAATATAATCCCAAGTATATCAAAACACAGCCCATGTATATGATATAGCATGTTTTGAAACATCTCAAAACAACTTGCTGGTCCTTATATAATCTGTCAATAAACTTTGATAGAAATTAAATAATTGCATTGCAAAAGGACACAAGCAATCCTTCATGTTTGTTTAAGGAAATTAATGGCAATTAAGGAATATGCACCCCTGCTTTCAGTGAGAACAATAGCATTTCTTACAAGGTTCAGGAAAAGTAACTCATAAAATAAATTTCACAATACCTAACTGTAGTGGGAATTAAAATATGAGAGATTTCTGTGATCTTGTTCTACCCTCATTTTTTTTGTCATTGTAGACGGTATGGAACCCGCTGTTCCCGTTGTGGGAGGCACATCCATTCTACTGACTGGGTCCGAAGAGCTAAGGGAAATGTGTATCACTTGGCATGCTTTGCCTGCTTTTCCTGCAAAAGGCAGCTTTCCACAGGGGAGGAATTTGCTTTGGTTGAAGAAAAAGTCCTCTGTAGGGTACATTATGACTGCATGTTGGATAATCTGAAAAGAGAGGTGGAAAATGGTAACTCTTCTTTTTGTTGTTAGGTTCTTCTTTGTAGGTCCCACACCATGGTTTTTTCTCCATCCGAGACAAAACACTTTGAAGCAATCCTTGAAACTTGACACCATGTTCTAATGAATAATAATCATCTAGTATGCTTGTAGGCTCATGAGAAGTTGGGTATCTGTAGCTTTCTCTTGCCTGCTAAGAAGAATTTTTAAGTCTTTGTATCTTTCAACAAGGGTGCTTCAGATTACCAGTTCCTCATGTAAATACATCTTAATACAATTTTGCTGTTACTCGTATATTCAGTATTTGTGTTCTACTGAATGTAACAAGGTTTTTCTCATTTTTTAAAAAAAAGAGACACTACTACCACAGCATGGAAACCCAAATAGTCACCACTGTCATGACATGGGGAAACAAATCCACTGTGTATGTTCTTCCTAGGGAATCTTGTGAAATTGCCTTAGTTGTTTGAACAGAGTCCTTAAAATGCTATATGTACTACAGCTTGATTGTATACATTTTTGCAAATGTAACATTTGTTTCCATTGATTTCTCCCTAATTTCAAAATAAAACTGGTTTTTGGTCCAGCACATACTATACTCTTATCTGATAGCTCGTTGATTGTGTTCCCAATAAAGCTGGAGATCTTGCTTTGCAAGAAACTAAATTCCATTCATTTTCTCAAAAATGTAAAACATTAGGCATGAGTACTCAAGTCCAAGGTCAAGGCACCTTCATAATAATGAAAAGATGATATTCCAGTATTGGAATTTATTCCAGATACTAGACATTATTTCTGTTTGTAACGTTTGTAACTATTGGCTATTATTGATAGAGGCAGTCCTTGGACTTTTATTGTCTTCTTTTTTTGATTTCAGGGAATGGGATTAGTGTAGAAGGTGCGTTATTAACAGAACAAGATGTTAATCATCCAAAACCAGCAAAAAGAGCTCGGACCAGTTTCACAGCAGATCAGCTGCAGGTAGAGCCCAGGCTTGGTTGAATGCCGTAATCAAAGTCAGCTGTGGGGTGTTTGGGATGGGAGGCAGGGGAGAACATAGCAATTTTATGCTGTGCATAACTGGAAAATGCTGCTAAAACTAGATGAATATGAACAAACCACTATCAAGACACAGCATGTTCCTGGGATATTTTGTGAGCTTTAGCTCTTTCAAATGAAATCGTTACTCTTCAAGATTTTCTATTTCCCTGAAGGCAGCTGGTAATTCTGTCCAGTGGAAATGTAAATGCTGATCTGTTTTGACTACTTGATGAAATTCATTAAGTCGGACATTTACATCACTACATGTAATTACAATAGGGGACTAAATAGTTTCAGCCCTATGTAATATGAAGAGAGGCATTTGGAAATCTGCAGAATATAGCTTTACAGGAAATGTAATGTTCTGAGTGTCTTAAATTTCACCATAGATGCCACAGCAACTGGCAATCAAAAATCGTGGCTCTTAAGAGAGAAAGGTGGTGTCATGTTCCAATTGGCATAGACTGGAACTGGAGTGATGATAGGCCAATGCTATCTTAAACACACACTGTAATTTGGCCTTCTGTTAAGAAACGCTTTCTTAACAGACCACATTGCAGTGAAGTCAACACAAACACACAAATGCACACTTTTCTGCAACAGAGTATTTTTTGGACATCCCTGATTACTTTTGTATTTTATACCATGGTAGGTAAACTGGATATTTGTTATTGCTAATTTTTAGCATATACCTGTTTCAATTACCTCCTTTATTGTCTTTCATTACTAGAAGTTGGTGAATAGGAAAGTACATGTAGATTCCTCTTCACTTTTGGCCAACACATAGGTGCATATATTTTGTTACATGCTCAATATTTTTTACCCTTGGCAAGACCAGTCATCTCAGCAGGACCTTGTGAGGCTAACATTTAATGCACCTTAGCTGTTACTTGGTTCTGTTCTCTTGAAGAATTTGATGGTTATTATCAGAAGAAAAAAATGAATTTAATGGAAGGTTGGAAGTTTTTTTCCTTTAAAAACAACAAATTGAGTAGTATGCCTAGATCAGAATTGAGAAAGCTTTGGTCCACCAGATGCCTACACCATGAGCTTCAAAAGCTCCACTTAGAATTTTTTTGAGGAGTGCTTTTCCTAAAATATCTGGAGGACAAAATATACCCCAGCATTGATGTAAATAATGGATAGATGACTGTTAACCTCCAGAAATATCTGGGCTGCAAATAACCCTTCACCATTAAGTTTGTTTTCTAGGGCTAATGAAAGTTGTAGGCCAAAAACATCTGGCCCTTGATTAGATGCTAGACACATGACATTTCTACCAAATATATTATTTGTTGAGTCAGCGAGTCTTATCTGCTTGAATAATCTTTATCAAAACAAAGACTGTCACAGATTTATGTTCTTCCTTTATATCAGTGGTTCTCAACGTGTGGGTCAGCAGATGTTTTGGCCTTAAACTCCCAGAAATCCTAACAGCTGTAAATGACTGGAATTTATGGGAGTTGCAGGCCAAAACACCTGGGGACCCACAGGTTGAGAACCACTGCTTTATATACATTCAAAAATAGAAACTGATCATGACTCCTTGATATAAACACACTTTCCAAGAGAGATTTCTGCAGTATTGAATGTGAAGCAATACTTAATACAATAATTATTTCAGCATATATTTTAAATTGTGGAGAGAGATAGAGAGATTTCGGACAGACAAATGGAGCCCAACTCTGCAATAGTTGTGGGAAGGGAAGATATCAGTATGACTGTCTACACCTGTTGAAACAGCTGTATTTCTGGACAACTGTTAAAGCTTGAAGAAATCTGCTGTCATTTCCATGTGGCCGACTGAGTGTCATTAATTTTCACAAGACTTTTTAATCATTGAGGTCAAGAGTGGGGAATCTAGGGCCTACCCTATTTTTGACTACAATCACTATCACCCTGTTGAATGGCCATGTCTGTGAGGCAAATGGGAGTTGTAATCCAATAACATCTGGATGCCTGCCTTAAATGCCATCAGTATAGCTCATGCCAAATCTGTACTTTTCTCTTACCTCTGTTTATGTCTTAAATATATTTAAGACTGCAATTTGAGGCCTGGTTATTTGGAAAATACTACTGAGCTCAGTGGGAATTGCTTTTATACATACACAGTTATACTATGCAGTAATAAAATGCTTTAATACACATTAAAATGTATCCCAGCTTTCTGGGCAAAATACCTACTCAAACTGGTTATAAGTTAGATAAAACAATGTAATAGAAAAGTATAATTGAAACAATTAATCAACAATAGTTAAAAAACTTTTAAAAGTACTTGAATACAGAAACAGAGCCAAAAAAACGCAAATACGAGGAAAATTAACAACATTTATTTAAGTTAACTCAGTCCCTGTGCTTCCCAAAATCTTCCCTGGATAGTTTCCTAAAACAATGAATGGAGTAAATCCTTTCCCTCCAGAAACCCTTCCATCCTAGAAATCATAGAGCAAATTTTGAGGATGAACATAATTTTGGGGAGAAAGTGTTCAGCCCATTCATTGTTCAGTTGACAGAAGCAGTTCCCGTAAAAGAATAATCCCATTGGATATTGACAACTATTTCTAAAAGAAAGCATAAGAAATAAACAAACTGGTTAACAGTTTCTGCAGAAAAAGCAAAGAAGCATTGGATTCCTTAGATTATGCTGTAATTTAAAAAATTAAAATTGATTTTTAAAAATTTAATAATTAAAAAGAAGAAGAAGAAGTAGTCAGGGAGACCAGCCATTCAGATGCTTTTTTTAAAAACATAGTTAACCTGTTAAAAATAATTTACTTCATAATAATCAACCTTGCTGGACTGAATTCAGTCTGTTTCTCACATAAAAGTTCCAATGAAATCAACAGACATGAAAGCAGACATGATTGCCTTTTCATATTAATTCAATGGGGCCCACATGTGATCCACTTAAAGCACAATTCTGTTTTCCATCTTATGAAGAAATGGCTTTGGCTGAATAATTTTTAGAATGCCACAAACTTTTATTTTTAATCCTATACATGTCTACACAGAAGCAGGTCTAATCCATGGCTCACTTTTGAATGACAGATGGCTATCAAATCTGTGTTTAAAAACATCGTGTGAATTAGAGTTAATTAATTTAATTACACATTCTGTTAATTTCATCTGAAAATACTTCAGTGTGTTTAGGTCTACCCGAACTATTGTTGGGCCATTAAAGAAGAGATTAACAATAACATATTCTTTCCAAGGATTCAGAAGCTTAATTAGCCAAAACATGAGGGCAGTAGTAAATAACAAGCTGTTGGTGAAAATCCTTCCATAACAGGGCTCACTCTTTACTTTTTGGGGATAGTAATCTCACCAAGGAGTAATTTTTTAATCATTTCATTCTGTTGAATATGTTGAATTAAGTAGTATAGCTGTTTTCAAGCTCTTTCCAGTTCTGTATCATGTTAATATTTTTTTCATGCATATGCAATCATTGCAGATGGCATGTCTACTGCCACTGTGTAAGGCAAAAACTAGTTCTTGTCACATGAAGGAATTTTAATGTAATATATATTTTAGAAGCCCTTGGTAGTGCAGCAGATTAAATTGTTGAGCTGCAGACCTTGCTGACCGGATGGTCGGTAGTTCAAATTTAGGGAGCAGGGTGAGCTCCTGCTGTTAGGCCCAGCTTCTGCCAACCTAGCAGTTGGAAAACATGCAAATGTGAGTAGATCAATAGGTATTGCTTTGGCAGGAAGGTAAAATGACTCTCCATGCAGTCATGCTGGCCACATGACCTTGGAAGTGTCTACGGACAATGCCGGCTCTTTGGCTTAGAAATGGAGATGAGCACCACCCCCAGACTCAACTAGACTTATTTCAAGGGAAAACCTTTACCTTTACTTTTTATATATTTTGGGGAGGAATTTAGTTTTCTCATTATCACATTAATTTTTCATTGACAGATAAGCAGAATCTAGCTTTGTTGCATTTTAGTTAATATATCCAACACTTGGGCTTATCTTGTCATTATGTAGGCTTAGTCTGTCTCTTTGTGATTACACATAATCCTGTTATATGAAAAAAAATAGGCTTCAAACTGTTATTGGAGGATGAAGTATGACCGCATCTAGATATCTATGCAGTCTTTGCTAGAACTTCATATTACCATTTAAAAAAATTTAAAATACTTCTTGCATTTTCCAGGTAATGCAAGCACAGTTTGCTCAGGACAACAACCCAGATGCACAAACACTTCAAAAACTGGCAGAAAGAACAGGCTTGAGCAGGCGTGTGATACAGGTAACTGTACTTCAGTTACTTCACAAGTACTGTGAGCAAAGCTCCTCTGCTTATAAAACTCTGAAAGACAGTTTTTCTGCTAGAAACAGATACTGTGTAATATCTTACAGCAGTTAGAAAGTTTACTTTTCAGGAGGGAATCCCACAGCTAATCTTTTCCATCAGATACTTTTTACATTGTTGAAAGGACATGATTTAAGGCTGTCCTATATGTCCCAAGAGCAATGTGAGTGGTAATGACCTATAGTGAACATGGAGACCAAAAGAACTCTTCATATCTTGATGTTACAAACTTCATGAGATTTATTTTCCTTATACACTATTGCATCTGGCTTAGTGGGTTTATATCCACAATGTACAATTAATTTGGTCTACCTAGTATCAGAGAAAGCACACAAAATCCGAGAAAACCCAGATTGAAGTGACTGTTAGTTTAATTATGTTGCTTAGCATGTGATTAAATTATATTAAAATGCCCAATAATGAATGAAATTGACATGTTTTGTGTCTTCCCACTTTCCAGGTGTGGTTTCAGAACTGCAGAGCACGCCACAAGAAACATGTTAGCCCCAATCATTCATCAACTACTCCTGTTACGACAGTCCAGCCTTCCAGGCTTTCTCCGCCCATGTTGGAAGAGATGGCATATTCAGCGTATGTACCACAAGATGGGACAATGTTAACTGCTCTGCATAGTTACATGGATGGTAGGTATAGTAGCTTGCTATAACTACTTTATGGACTTGAAAAGAAAATGTGAAATACATATTTTAGCTCAGGCTAGGGCACCAAGCAACCCCCAGGAAATTAACAACACAAAAGATATCCTTGAGAAAACCTAATTTTAGGGGGGGGGGGGTGAGGTATTTCAAAGTCTGTAGACCTCTATTTAGATAGAGATGCTTGAGACTGATGGCAGAATTTGCTAGTAGCTTAGAAATCCAGGAAAATATCTGCATATAGCATTTCTCCCTAATTGCCTTTATTATCCTCTTACCGACTCATGGAAGTGATGAGGTTATTATCATCACCATGGTGCTTCTATGGCATTGGAGGATCTCTGGGGGAGAAATGGGCTCATGCATAAGGAAGCATGAGATGCATCTGAAACAAATTTGGAGTAGCAAGTACAATATCATGGCTTTCCCCATGTGGGTCCACCATTTTGTCCACCAGAATGACATAAAAAATGGGCACTGGATCCCAAATGTTCTCTACCTTCATTTCAGATCAAAATATTACAGAATACATTTTCACACATCAGCTTGAGTTTTATAATTCCATTACACAAAGTTATATTAATGACATTTTTCATCCTCAATTCTCAGTAGACGATACATTTTCTGCCCTTGCTCTCAGCTACATGTAAACGTGAGTTGCACACAGGTTACTGGAAGAAAATGTGACTTATTAACTTGCATACATAGGAGTTTTTAATTAGAGCTGGACAATTATTTCATGTCAATTAACACACCCAATAGAGTTTTACTTGACTACAGTTATATGTAACTTTATATATATAATTCCTTTAGTCACATTTTTGCTATTCATCAGTATTCATTCAGTGACTACAAAGGGAGATCACCTTTGGGGGATAAGAGTTCATCTCTAGAACAAAGCAAGACAGTATTCAATTGTAACAATGTTTTGGATTAGAGCAATTTGAGCATAACTTTGAATTTGCCATTAACTTGTGATAGAAAAACATGATTTTTAAAAAAACAAATAGGACATCACTTGATGCATCAGCTAAATCATTATTTATTAATCAAGTTCCATCTCTCCATATTTTAAAATGTTCATATTCTTGCTGAATTGTTTTAAAGGAACAATGAGAATGCCATACTCAATAAGTTTTAAATTATTATTTATGTAGCACTCAAAACACATACACACTGCGCATGCTGACTGGTATACATAGCTTACAGGAGGACAATGTCAAGATGTGGCACTTATTCCAGGGAGGTGTTCTACTTCTCCCAGAACCAGTGGTGACTCCCTCTGGCTTAAATATCTTTCATCTTTCAAAGCAGGCTTTAAAGGGCTTCATTCTATCACAAAAACGGGACATCAACTTTATCTGTAGTAAAATGCCTTCATCACCACCTGCAGAATTGTTCATATGGGAAGACCATGCACCAGCTAGAGTGTAAGGAAGAAACCTTTGTTGTTGTAGAAAAAGGACTCTTTCAGAAGCTGGTGACATGCATGCCACTTGCCGGTGTCCCAGCCCTGTCAATGCAGTTGGATTTTTATTCACAAGTAATATTTTTCTACTTCCAGTCAGGCTGACCAGCAAATCTTTCTATTTTTGTAGCTCATTCACCTTCTGCTCTTGGACTCCAGCCTCTGTTACCCCATTCAATGACACAGCTGCCAATAAGTCACAGCTAATGCATTTCTTTCAGGGACATGAGGCTAAGGAAGTACCCTTGTGTCACCTATTATACGCTGTCATTGAAAATCAGTTTAAACTTAAATAGCATCCAAAGCAATTGGAAGACAATTTTGTTGCCCAGGTATGTAAGTATAGTTGGCCTGCAAGACACTTTTATGGCTTTCTCCATAAATATGTTTACAAGACTTATTAAAAAGGAACACCTTTTTTGTACTGTCTGGAAGTAGTCCATTCTAGCTATGTGTTTGTTAATTTATTTATCATCAAGAGCACTTTGCCTAAAAGACAAGACTGACAATTGTGCAAAATGTTTACAATTCTTTGTGAAATTGTAGTTCATCATTAGTTTGTATCTGTAAGTTATTGTTATTAAAGTATTACTTGTATTTGAGTTACATGCAGCCTATACTTTGAAGCTTATGCCTATGAATTGGCAAAACTTCATTTGCCAGCATTCTCCAGATGACCTAAATAAAACCTTCTGTTGTAGCATGCCAAACAAATACATTCCTGTGTTAGTGGTATAATTGTGTGTCTTTACATTTAAGCAGAGGGCTGGTTCATTGTCCTTCAGACTGTTTGGGGGGAATTCCTATGCACACTATACACTTACCTTATTTGTAATGCAAAAACGATATGAAAGGACAACACAATATTTAAAATGAAGAACAATTTTAACCAACATAAACTTACCAGTATTTCAATAGGAACGGTGAGCCTGCTTTTAACTAATGAGATAGTCATGTTAATTAGGATTGTTGTTGTGTACATTCACGTCATTTCAAGGTAACCCCAAATCTAAAGTTTAGGCCTGGTAAATAAATTTGGAGGGCTGCATGCAGCCTACAGGTCTTCTTTTGAGGACCCCTGGTTTAGTTCAAAGCATTGCTGCAAATTACATCCAAAAAGTGTTTTCGTTCTGCAGTATGGTTTGCCTCTATCTCATGCTTGTAACATTAACAGGGTTCCGGTGCTCAGTCAAGGTATCATAGTAATATTAAGGGGAAGTTTCTCTTCGCTGTCCAAACAAAATGTTGTTTCACATTCAAGTATAAATTGTTTGTTGTGTGCTATCAAGTCACTTCAATCTATGTCAACCCTATTGTGCAGTTTTCTTTGTAAGATTTGTTTGGAATGGCTGTATCCATACCTTTCTTTAAAGGTGACAGATTATAACCTGACCAAAGAAACCAGTGAGTGGAGATTCAGACCCTGGACTGCAGAGTCCTAATCCAGAACCCTAACTGCTATAATATGTTGCCTGTCCATGTATAAATACACATTGTATATGCTATCACTAAGTCTTTCAGCTTTATCTTTAAAACTGACAATCTTTCAGTTACTTGTCTTGGTTCATTTAAAAATAACTTGTTTGTGTAATGCAGCCTGTGGACTGTAGACCACGAGTGGTCTGCAGAAACTAAAATATCGTCTGCGGCCTCACTGTTACTACGCTATTGCAACGAGAGCGACTGGTCTCACGAAACCATCTTATAGTGCTGAGGCTTATTAAATATGGTTTTCTGTGGGCGAGCAGATGACAACTACTGGATAGCATATGTTCTGTATCAGAAACTAGAGCTGATGTGGTCGATCCAATCCAATTTTTGGAATTAGCACCTAAAAAAACAAAACTGAATCTAAAGTTGACAAAAACTGATTCATAACCCTTTTGGTACTAATGTTGAAGTGTGGTCCCTGGTCAAAAAAGTTTGGGAATCACTAATGTAATGAAAGAAAAGGGACCAGCATATTTCACTCTTATTCATTGACAAGTAGCAGAAGTGAGTGCTCTGCTGGTTTTTTTTGTTTTTAATGACAAAGGGTTGATGATAACAATAACCAATAATATGTTTTAATATCACTTCCAGAGTTGTGCAATAATTGGTTTTATATGTAATTATTTTTAATGAATTGGTGTCTTCACTAAGGTGTCAATACATTATTTATTTATTTATTTATTTAAAACTTTTATGTCCCAATCTTCTCTACTTCCGTAGAGGGACTCAGACTTGCTGACAGCAAGAATTCAATGCTAACAGTAAAAATCTAAAACATTATAAATCGACAATAACTTAACAAATACATATAGAATAAATTACATAAAAGCCGTTCGCCAAGATAAAATCATGTACAACTCAGTCAGTATAGTCAGTCCTTATATTATGATCAATAACTTTGGTCAATTACCGGTCTCAACCATCACTCTTCAAAAGCCTCTTTCCACAGCTTCCTAAATGTCAGGAGGGAGGAGGCAGATCTAATTTCATTTGGGAGGGAATTCTATAGCCGGGGGGCCACCACAGAAAAAGCCCTCTCTCTTGTCCCCACCAGATGCGTCTGCGAAGGTGGCGGGATGGAGTGCAGGGCCTCTCCAAATAATCTTAGCACTCTTGATGGTTCATAGGGGAGAATATGTTCGGACAGGTAAACTGGGCCAGAACCATATAGGGTTTTGTAGGTTAGAACCAGCACTTTGAATTGTGCTAATTGGCAGCCATTGGAGCTGGCGCAACAAGGGAGTTGTACACTCCCTGTACTCCGCTCCCGTTAGTAGCCTGGCTGCCGAATGTTGGACTAATTGCAGCTTCCGGGCAGTCTTCATAGGCAGCCTCACGTAGAGAGCATTGCAGTAGTCTATACGGGATGTAACCAGAGCGTGGACCACTTTGGCCAAGTTAGACTTCCCAAGGTACGGGCACAGCTGGCGCACAAGCTTTAACTGTGCAAAAGCTCCCTTGGCCACTGCCGAGAGGTTCCAGGTTCAGCAATGAGTCCAGTATCACTCCCAAGCTGTGAATCTGTGCCTTCAGGGAGAGTGTAACCCCATAAATCACAGGCTGTAACCCTATGCCCTGTTCAGCCTTACGACTGACCAGGAGTACCTCTATCTTGTCTAGATTCAATTTCAATTTGTTCACCCTCATCCAGACTGTTACAGCGGCCAAGCACCGGTTCAGGACTTGAACAGCCTCCTTAGTAGTAGGTGGGAAGGAGTGACAGAGTTGGACATCATCTGCGTACCCCGAAACTCCGGATGATCTCCCCCAATGGTTTCATGTATATGTTAAATAACATAGGGGACAATACTGAGCCCTGTGGGATCCACAGTATAATGGCCGTGGGGCGACCCTCGAGGAAAATTATATGATAATTTTAACTCATTGACATCCTTTCTTTGGTGCAGCTAACTTTTCACTAACTTTTATAGTTAAAGTGGTGTTGCACCAGTAAATGGTGGAGAAGAAATTGTGCCAGTGAGTAGTAGACAAGCTGCCTTGGATCTTATCCTGGGAGAAAGGGAGGACATAAATACAATCAATCAATCAATCAATCAATCAATCAATCAATCATCAATATCCCATGAGTCAAGTGTTGGCCTATACTGTGATCTGTGCTGTTTTTAATCATGTTTTAAAATAACTCTCTTTTTGAGAAATAAATAGTTCCTTTGATAAAATTGTAATATCAGTGGCTATGAACTTTCCAGAGTTTTGTAACAGCAAATTGCTTTTTTTAAAGTTAACATTCCAAGCTGGCTTTTCCATCGCATCTTGTTCTATTTGTTCAATTTGTCTTTTTTCCATTACAAATTGTGCTCACAGAATTCAAAGCAGCACTCATAAAAGCAATAATTCATTATCTGGGACTGATATACTATCTTTTCAGGAATGAAATAATAGTGTATTCTGTTGCTATAAAATTTATCTCTACATTAGGAAGGGGATTTAGTAGGTGAAGGCGGTGAGACAGAGGTCAGAAGAAACATCCTTAAAGAGCTCTCTTACAGGTTTAATTACAGATACCCACCTGAACCAGTCTGAAATTCTTGCGGGTGATGGGCAGAAATCATGTCAGTTTGGCAAGGAAAATATTCAGCAGTATACATCATTGTGAGGGTTACGTTATGGAATTTAAATTTCCAGCTTCCTCTTCATCTCCTTTCTGATTACAGGGGGAGCTGGCTGGCTCTTTTCTTATTGGTAATGACCACCAATAGTTTTAGTAAGGGAACCAGGAGCCTCATTCAACCAAAGTGTGGAAAGCCAGTGGTGTGGATTTGTAGATTCATTGTAATAAAGCAACCTCTTGAGGAAAAAAAACCCTTTCCCTTTATTTCACTTGTATGCATGTGTTTCTCGTTTCTCATGTTTTTTCCTGCTCGCATCATTTTAGTGATGTTCTCTGAATACAGGTTTCCATTGAAATCCCTGAGTAGAAGACCAGTGAGGATGCTAACATGAACCTCTTGGTTTTCCAGCCTTCTATGTTACATGCAAATCTATGATCAATAAATATTTACCAGGGAGCCTTGCAAATGGCTATATCCCAGATGCAAGAACAAATGTCAGGCAAACATAAAAGGTTGATTAATCACCGTAGATCAGGCATGGGCAAATTTCAGCCCTCCAGGTATTTTGTACTTCAACTCCCACAGCCGGTAGGATGCTAAGAATTGTGGGAGTTGAAGTTCAAAACATCTGGAAGGCTGAAGTTTGTCCATGTCTGCTGTAGACGTTGCATCTGGGTTTCTCAGTTGAAGCAGGAGAAGAAGCTCCAGTTTTGAAGTCGGGTCAGTAATCAGTAGTGGTGTAGTCAGTCCACAGTTTTCAGTAGAGGTGGGCAAGGTTACTGCAATCAAAACTGAAATTCCCATCATCTCCAATAAGTGGTGATTTGTGCATACTGAATGGTGGGAAACACTGGAAGATGCAATTTAGCAATATGTAGGGAGCCATACCTTTGTGTATCATTGGTTTATGGATTCGGAATAATGACATCATCTGCACCCACACTCTTACCAACTTTCTTGTTCCTTTTATGTTTAGCTGCAACTTTCATAATGGCAGCATAGGAAGATGTATTTTCCAAGCAATAATATATTGTGACCATTTATGATGTAATGCTTATAGAGATTAGGGGCACTTGGCCTTCAGTGGACTATTAAGATGCATTTGTTTTATAAAAGATTTGTGATGAAAACTGCCAAGACTGTTTTATTGACATGACTTAATTAGCTCCTTACTTATTTGTTTGTTTGTTTATATTTATAGCTTCTTGGAGGCATGCCACTAGGAAATGTCAGAATGTCAGTACGTCTGTCCATCAGAATTTTAACACAATATTACTGGTGATTGTGGGTAATAGTGGATAATGTGTTTTACCTGTTCCATGTCCTTCCCTACAAAGAAAGATAGGAAGGGGTGATGTCATCCTCACTTGTGCGGGAGCATTTTTGCAGTTTGTGTATGATCTGGGTGCTCCCATTCATTGTTTGCAGGTTACCTGCTATGCAGAAAGCTTCCAGAGCGTGAAGTTAGTCTTATCACCTAGGGGGAACTTTCAGGGGAAGCATGAATGAAATGACACCCCTGGGCCAATGCCCCTAATGTCTATGGGGATTTCCTCCAACTTGGCATTCAAGGGTTGTAACAATATTTTTTTCACTATGTAGAATCCAATCCAACTCTTGAAACATAACAGATATATGGAGTATGGAGAC